GCTGTCCTAAACGCTTCTAATCTTGTAATAGACTAATCCCATATACTTCTATCCCATAATAGGTCAATCCTCTACACTTCTATCTCATAATTGGTCAATCTTATACACTTCTATCCCATAATAGGTCAATTTCATACACTTCTATCCCATAATAGGTCAATCTCATACACTTCTATCCCATAATAGGTCAATCCCGTACACTACTATGCCATAATAGATCAATCCCATTACACTTCTATCCCATAATAGGCCAATCCCAAACGTTTCCATCCTATAATAGATCAGTCCTACAATGCTCACCACAGTGGTCGAACATGACAGTCATCAGCCACAACTTACAGAGAAGGAAAATGAGGCATGTGTCTCAGCCCGCACAACCAGAGAACAAGGCTGGCCTGGCTCTCTCTCTAGGCTCGAACATCTTAGGGTAAGGGGGGTATAGCAGCAGCAGGAGTGGGGGAGAGGGTCAAGAGGAACCCCTCCCTGCCCAAGAAAGGCAGAAGAGTACAGCATATGGGAATCCTAAAGCCCCTAAGACTCAGGGGTCCCCATGGGGGAAACCACTAAGTGGACAAAGAAGGCCAGGCATTCACCAGCACCCAGCAGTGAGGCCCTAGAAGGTTCAGGATTGTTCCAAGCCACCAGGGACCTCTTGAGTTTGGCGCATGAAGAGCCTGGGAAAGTGTTTCAGCCATCTCATGCCAGGTAGAGCCACACTGGACAGAAAGTTTGTCCCAAGCTTTTCTCCCCTGCCCTTGGCAGCCCCCAAAGTTGTTTCCTCAGGAAACCCAGGAGGACCAGAGCCTGGGGCAGGGGCCAGCTCTCCGTGAGGGATGGGAACCCCGGCGCCAGGGCCTGCCTACCCAGCTGAGAGGCCCCTTTGTGCCAGCCCTGCCCCACCCCCACGTGCCATCTGCCTGGTCCCTGGAGGCTGGTCACCCTCGGGCTGCCGACTGGGCTCACGTGATGCCCCCATCTGCTGTGAGTCAGAAGGCGGGGCCCGCAGGGACCGGACGCTCTGACTCCAGGGGTGGTGGGGGGGGGGGGTGTGGACCCCAGCTCGGGTTGGGGAGACAGCGGCACTGGGGTTTGGGAGGTGTTGTGACATTTGTTTGGTCTCTGCCCATCACTGCCATCCTTGGCTTCCTCCTCTAGGGCCTCCCAGAGCCCCGCCCCTCCTCCTGCCATCTCTGAGATGGCATTGCACATGGCACTTGCCCAGGAGAAGTGATATCCATGGTGATGTCAATATCCATGTCTGCCCCTGCCTACCCTCCTCCTGTCCTTGTCACTCCTGGTCCTATAGGAAGGCCACCTTTCTCCCTACCAAGGCTGGGCTGTCCCCTCCACATCTTTACCCAAGTTCATGACACAGCCCCTATCCTCTCTACCCTGCTGATACTTGCCAGTCTCCTTACCCCTGCGGCCCCCATAGGACAGCCGTGGACCTGCCTGCCTGCCACCACAGGTCCTCAGAAGCCCAGGCCAGCCCCCAGCGCCCCCGCCCACCCATGCCCCCCCTTCCTCAAACCTTTCCCTCCTGCCCCTACTCCCACTGCTCCAGCCTCTGACTTCCCTCCCTTGCCATCTCCCTCCTACTTCTCACCAGACCTGTTTGTGCCCCTGACAGCCTGGGGGTGTCATGCGAGCTAATGGCCCAGTGGAGGACACCCACAGTGTGGGCTGTGCTGCACAGATCACACAGGAAATTTTCCCCACCCAGCTCTCTGAAAACCAAACCCCAGACCCGATGATAACACAGCTGGAATCACCTCTGGATGACCAGCTGCTCAGCAGCTGGGGCAACTGAGACCAAGAGATCAGGCCAGGACAATTGGTCAGTGGTGCCTGGACCAAGGCAGGACTACATCTCAGTTCCCTGGGGTCCCTGCTGCAAATTGAGGTCAGGTTGGGCCCCAGAGTTAGTGACCTCCCTGGACAGGGCAGGAAACCCCCAGAGGAGCTCTAGCCTCATTCTAGGGAGCAGCCTGTGACCCCCACTGACCCAAGTTGCCCCTGTACCAAGGCACCAACCCTCTGCCCACAGGGGACTCATAAGCTCCAATAGACCCCAAAGCACACAGTAGGTGCTCAATAAATGTCCCTATAAATAACTTCCTTGGCTCACTGAAGGGCTTGTCCTCTCTACTTACCCAGACCCCAGCTATTCCAGAAGGAAAGGGAAGATAAGATGACCCCCCTCAGGAAAATGAACCACTAGAAACTCCAACCCAATACCAGCAGCTGGCTGGGGAGCAAGGAGGACAGGAACCCCCATTTCCTACCCCAAGAGGCAGGCTAGGAGGGTCCTATCAGTCCCACACAGTTGGTGCCCTGAGCTCCGGTGGTTAACAGGGTGGAGGGGCTGGCAGGGGCCTGAGCGGTCAGCTCTCAGCCTGGTGTCCCCCGCTATCTGCCCCAGGGAAAGATCCCTGCTCCTGCCCGCCAGGGTGACAGAGAGAGGCATGGCTTCAGTCATGCCCACTCCCCCCCCCCACCAGGACAGTGGCAGGAGAAGCTGCCTCCAGGTCTCCATACTAGCCCCTTACAGGACACTGTCCTCCCAGATGAGTCCCTGGAGTTGCAGTGTGACCCGGGGTGAGCCGGCAGCCCTCTCAGAACCTCCAGCCTCCCTGGGGCACAGGGCAGCAGTGATCAAGGCTCACTTTGAGCCTGTGTCCCCAGCTCCCAAATGACAAGTGGCTTCAAAGTGTTCCCCATCCTCTGATCCCCAGCTCCACCTTCACTACTATCTGGGGTAGTCTGTAGAGATCCAAGACCCCCGGGGTCCCCCACACACCCCTTTTAAGCCTACACTCCCCCCCCAACAGCCACACGCCCCCCCATCCCTCCTCCTACCCCCTCTCACACCCCGGGTCCGGTACCTGGCACCAGGCAGAGGGTCCTGTGGAGGACAAGGCGCTGGACCCCCTTTCGGGACCCACCTCGGAGGATCCACCTGCCCGGGCCGTCCCGCAGCTGTCTGCCAGGCTACGAGTAGGCTGGGGAGCGGGCGTGGGAGGCCCTCTCCTGCGCGCAGCCCGGCCGGCCGCAGCCAGTGCGGAGCCAGGGGGTGGGGCTGGTTGTGTTGTGTTGCGGGGGACACTGTCCTGCCCCAGCGGGGCTCCTCCCAGACCGAGATCTCTGGAGGTGTGACTCATGGATTTCTCAGAGGGAGGCTGGGAGGAGGCAGGGCTGACAGAGCTGGGGGGGGGGGCGATGCTTATGACTCAGGCTGGACAAAGAGGGGGACCTTGGATTCAGCTCTCAGCAACACTGCATACAGGTGCCAGGCTTCAGAGCTGGATGTGGGCCGGGGTACCTGTCACCTCACCCTCCATCCTTGGGAGTTCCTGCAGAGGTCAGAGTTGCCATAACAATGGGCCACTCAGATGATGCTCCTCCTCCCCCACCTCCCCCCCCCACACCAAGCCAACTGCCCCTTCCTGAAGCCGCATCCAGCCTCCTTGGCGGCAGTCAAGGGCTGGCGCTGACCGGCAGAGCGGAAGGCAGCCAGGAGGAAGGGGGGGGGGGTCAGGCAGCCTGGCACGGGGCCACACACTTTGGACCTCCAGTCCTCTTAAACCTTGGTCTTCCGGGCAAGGGAGCCACAGGGGAGGGCCGCCCCTCCCCCGTGCCACACTTCCAACATTCCAAGCCCCAAGTCCTGGCACTGAATCCTACAGGCACCTGGAAGTGCCTCCTTTAGTCTAGCCTTCAAGCCAAAGGGGAAACTGAGACCCGCACAAACAGTCCTACCCAAGGATTCCAACAGCTCAAGGGCAGCAATTTGGAAATGGCCAACATTACCAGCCTCCTTCTGGCTACTGTGTTGGTCACAGTCCCTCACAAGGCCTGGGGAGTTGGGGGGGGGGGAGAGAAGGGAGCCAACTTGCCCAGGGGTTGGGCACCCAGTGGCCTGGGGAATGCCACCTTCCCCAGGCTTCGGGCAGAGGGCTGGAGGCCAAGGGTGCCGGGGGACTTGGTGCCCCCTCTCTCTTGCAGCTGTCTGTATTCTAGAAGTGGGGGCAGAAAAAGCAGGCCGCACCAGGTGGCCAGGGCTGCTGGAGGTGAACTGTACCTCTCCTGTCCACCCCCAGATTAAGCTTGAGGAAGAATTGGCAAAGCAGCCCCAAGGGATATGGCTTTCAGAAAGCCCTGCTGTGCTGGCTGCAATGTCAGGCTGGGGGCAGATGACCACATGGTGCCACACTGCCTCCTGCCAGCCTTGCTGCTCCTGCCCAGGCCCATGGTGGACACTGCCTTGTTGCCAGGGTGAAAGGGGCTGGTAGGCAAAGGAGCAGAAGTGAGTTTTCTAGGAAAGGTTTAGAAAGTCCCCAACATGCCTTATCCCAGGGCAATTCGGCATCTCGAAGCCTCCGTTTCCTCAAGGTTGGTCCTTCAAGGTCCAGCTAGCTGAGGCCATTTCTGCCATCCCTGAGGGTCCTAGCCAGCAGGATCTGGATAGAGAAAGCAAAGCACCACCCAAGCCTGCAGCTAGTCATACCAGAAAAGCCCTGGGAGCTAGGCAGTGGCTCACCCTGGAGCCTGCAATCAGGATTGCAGCTCAAGGCCAGGCTGGGCAAAAAGTTCACCCCCTCCCCAACTCAACCAATAGAAAGTTGGTAGTATACACCTCATCCCAGCTATGTGGTTAGCATAAACAGGAGAAATGCGGTCCAGGATAGCCTGAGCAAAAAGTGAGATCCCATTTCAAACATAACAAAGATGTAAAGGGCTGGGAATATGAGTGGTAGAGCACCTGCCTGGCAAACGCAAATCCCTGAGTTCAAACCCCAGCATGACTAAAAGGGAAAAAAGGAATGAAAGGAAGAAGGGAGGGAGGAAGGAAGGGATGGAGGGAGGGAGGAAAGAAGGAAGGAAGGTTGAGCTAGAGCAGTCAGGGCAGGACAGGAGTGAGCTCGCCAAGCCCTGCTGCTCTTCTCATCACTCAGCATTTCAGAGAACTATTATGTGCTGGGCACTGGGGGTAGGCAAACCTGGTTCTCATCTGTGGCATCTGGGGTGGGTCATCATCACCACTGGATGCCTAGAAGGAGAGAACACAACCACCTGTTGCTGGCTTCTGCACCAGGAGGACAGGTGACTTGTAGCGGCTGTTCTGCTTTGTGTGTACAAGGCCCATGCCACCACAGCAACTCAGGCAGGTGGCCACCAGCGAGGGGAGACAGTCAGAGACAAACAAGGCCACTTAGCTGGGATGTGACTGAGCCTTGGATAAGTGGATAAGGTCCTTCTGGGTACCGTATCTCCATCATGCTCATTTTGTAGAACAGGCCCTGAGCACGGAGAAGGTGAAGAATTTGCCCACGCCCCTTAGTGTGGCCAAGTATATTGGACCCAGAGATAGGCCTGTGTGTGTGTGTGTGTGTGTGTGTGTGTGTGTACTAAGGCTTGAACTCAGGACTCAGCTCCCACTTAGCTTTTTGATGCAAGGCTACTGCTCTTGAGCCACACCTCCACTCTCAGCTTTGTTGGTTAATTGGAAATAAAAGTCCCACAAACTTTTCTACCTGGGCTGGCTTTGACCAAAGATCCTCAAATCTCAGCCTCCTGAGGGCACAGACGGGGAAGGGCATTCCAGGTAGCCAGACAGCTCCACCAGGAGAAAAGGTGAGAAAGGAGTTGTTTGGGGAAGGAAGTGAGATCTGTGTTGTGGTGGGGGGTGGGGTGGCAGGTTCTGGAAGATTTTTTTTTTTTTGGTCGGTTGTGGGGCCTGAACTCTGGGCCTGGGCGCTGTCCCTCAGCTCTTCAGCTCAAGGCTAGCGCCCTACCACTTGAGCTACAGCGCCACTTCCGGCTTTTTTCTTTTTGCTTATGTGGTGCTGAGGAATTGAACCCAGGGCCTCAGGCATGCAAGGCAAGCGCTCTACCACTGAGCCACCTTCCCAGCCCCAGGTTCTGGAAGATTTTGAAAGCATGGAGTCTGGGGTTAATCAAAGGAACTGGGAGTCACAGAAGGTATTTGGGTACGGGAAGACAGCATGGATGGAGAACTGACTGGGAATCCAGATCCTGGGTGTGGCTTAGGCCTACCCAATCAGAACCTGGAGCTTCAGATGCCCGGATGGCTCTGGTAACATGGAAAGACATAGGGAGCCCTGGGCTTGCCCAATTCTACAAATCTGAACAACCCTGTGGGGTGGGGTGGGGTGGGATGAGTCAGCATGGGGTAGAGGAGGGAGACAGCTAGCTATCGAGGGTCCAGGTGGAGCCTTAAAAATGGAGACAGAGAAGTCTGAGAAGGCTCTGGTTCAAGAGTTCATTTCCAGGGCTGGGCCTTGGTCCTGACCCCCTCCCCACAAATCTCACCCAGGACAGTAGTGGGGTAGAAACATCCCTGAAGTGTAGGGGAGCAGATCTGGCAGGCAGGAATAAGGGAGCTCTGTGGCACAGTGGTAGGGGACCAGTCCTGAGGCATATGGGGGACCCATGTGTCCCCTACCCCCCCCTGCTTCCAAAAGATTCAGGAGAGACCTTGCCAGGGCTTGGCAGTGAAAGGCTGGGTTCCAGAAAAAAATGATAGAGGCAGAGACAGGGAGGAAAGCAGAGAGAGCTGAAGTTGTCCTTTCATTCCAAGGGACAGAGGAGAGCAACCAGTGCCATCTCTGAGAGCCCAGGCCAACTGGCCTCCACCCCAGCTCTGCCAGCAGGCCACCTGCCTGAGTCTCTCTGCCCACCCATCCATCCTCACTGCCAAGAGAGGCCGATGAATGAGAGCCGGCACGGGTGACACTCACAGCCCAGGCCTGGCACAGAAGGGGCACCTGTTGTCCTGTCTGTGACAGGATGATTCAGAGCTACCCGCAAAGCCACAGGACTGGGCTGCCACGGGGGAGAGAGGAGGGAAGGGTAGATCATCTGTAACACTTGGACCCCAGGACAGGGGTGGCACAATGACTGCTGCCACAATGACTGAGGCCTGGGGTGAAGCCTGAGCGCAGAGGGCTTGGTGGGGCTGAGGGGCCCTCGGATCCTTGCCCTTCTCCACCCTGCTGGTCAGAGCCACAGTGCTTATGAACCAGCCTAGAGGGTGTGACTGGGCTTGAGCAACCATGGGTAGTTCTGTGTGTGTGTTGTTAGTTTGATTTGTGTGTGTGTGAGTGCAATTACACTGGGGTTTCAACTCAGAGCCTCAATGTTCTCACTTGGCTTTTTTCTTTTTCTTTTTTTGGTGCCAGTCCTCTGAACTCAGAGCCTGAGTGTTCTCAGAGCTTTTTTTTTGCTCAAGGCTAGTGTTCTATCACTTGAGCCATACCTCCACTGCCAACTTTTTGCTGGTTAACTGGAGATAAGAGGCTCATGGACTTTTCTGTCTGGGCTGGCTTTGAATGAAGATCCTCAGATGTCAGCCTTCCAAGCATCTAGGATGTGGGCATAAACCACAGCGCCCAGCCATGAGTGAGGGTGTTTGTTGTTGTTGTTTGTTTTGGTTGTTGTTCACTGTTTGTGTGTGCTGGTCCTGTGGCTTGAACTTGGGGCCTAGGTACTATCCTTGAGCTTCGTTTTATTCAAGGCTAGCTCTCGACCACTCGGGGCCACAACGCCACTTCCATCTTTTCCTGAGTAGTTTATTGCAGATAAAAGTCTCACAGACTTTCTCTTATCCAGGCTGACTTTGAACCACAATCCTCAGATCTCAGCCTCTTAAGTAGCTAGGATTACAGGTGTGAGCCACCAGTGCCCAGCTCTATGAGTTAGTTTTTATTGGATAAGAATTTTCAAATCCAGGCTTCTCTTCTTACAAGCTGAGAGACTGTAAACCCTTGAATGTACTGACCAGCACACAGTATGCATCAGCAATGTCACCAATCATCATTTTTACACAGGGCCCAAAAGACTAGCATCCCCCCACACACCCAGTTTGTAGAATCCCTTCCCAGCCAGAGATGATAGTCCCCCTTGGACAGAACCAGAAACTGAGGCCCAAGATCCCACTGTCTTAGCCACCAGCTACCCAGACCTGTGCTCGGTGCCCCCAGTCACCTCTCTGCATATTCCCGTGGGAAAGCCTCCTGGCTGAAGTGTGGGGGTGGCCCAGCCCCATGATAACACCATCTCCAGTCACATCCCCCCAGGGCCCAGCAGGATGGTGGCGCCATGTGACTCAGCTGGCTCACAAAGGCAGCTGTGTGCCCCAGCACCCTGGGGCCCGCCTCCCCCATCCTCAGCCACCTTCGACCTAGCAGAAGCCTGACATGCCAGGGAGAACCAGGAATGGCTCTTAGTCCTTACAACGGGCTGAGTCTTGTGGGGATTCAAGCCTGGACTTGGGGGCTCAAGAAGCTGATGCCAGCTCATGCCGTGGAAAGGAAAGCCTGGCAAACAAGAGAGGCAGACAGTCCAGGTCCACTAAGCTGGGGTCTTGAGACCTTATTTGGAACTTCAAGGCCAGCCTCCACGGGGCAGTTCTGACAGCTTCTCCGCCCATATACTGTATCAGGTTTCAAGCGCTAGCCAAGTCCCTGTGTCCACGCTCCCCCAGAGCTTCCCTATTGCACACCTATCCCATGCCAGGAAAGTGACTTGGTTTTCTCCCACAACTCTAGTAAGGAGACTTTGTCCATTCTCTAGAGAGGTAGGAAGACCAGCCAAGTGTCACACAGTATTGGAGGCAGGATCTGTGTGTATGCGAATGTGCGTACATGTGCATGCACATGCATGCCAATCCTGGGGCTTGAACTCAGGGATGTGAGGTTTCCCTTAGCTTTTACATTCAAAGCCGGTATTCTACCACTTGAGCCACAGCTCCACTTCCCAGAATCTGTTGCTTCTTCCAGTCTCCTCTTCCTGGTGCCAACCATGTCTTGACCACATGCCAACAAGAAGTAGCTTTGGGCTGGTGCAGGCAGAGACCTTGTTCCTGCTTGCAGAGTGGGGGCTGCTCCTAAATGTTGTTCCTTAGAGGAATGCGGGCTGGCTAGCTTCTGAGTGCCACCCCACTGACCTTCCCTGGAGGTAGGCACGCCTGGGTACCCAGCTTCCCAAGACAGAAGGGAGTCATGGCGTGACGGAATGTCTGACCCCCCAGTCCAACACCCTCCACTTGGCCAGAGGACTGGAACCAGCCAGAACTGGGCCTTTAAGGTCATTTGGCCTCACCCTGCCTCTAAGCCCAGGACGAAGCCACCTCAACAGGCTGTCTTCACCCAGGCCACATGCCTGCCAGCCCGGGCCCCACTTTGATGTGCAGAACCGGGCATCCAGAAGCCTCAGTGCCTCCCATGCGATTCCACCTGTCTCTGGACACCAGTCCCCTGTGCAGCTCAGGGGACTGGAGTGGACTGGTCAGGATGGGGATCTTCCTGTTTTGTCTCTGGAGCCAACAGTAAGTACATCCACTCCTGGGGCTGTGACCCTGCCCAGCACCCTGCTCTGAAGCAGCCTGGGCCACAGAAGCCCCAGGAAGGGGGCTGGAGGTGGAGGGGGATCCAAACCATTCCTCACCCATCTGAGAACCTCCTAGTGTTGTCCCAAAGCCCTCCTGTAGCTGGTCACAGAACCTGGCATCAAACTGTCCTAGTTTGACCTTTCTGTGCTTCCATTTCTCAAGAGTGAAATGGGGAGAGCTGCCTACATCCAGGACCTCTGGAAAGGCCAACAATAGCCAGTGTTCTGTCTGCAATCTTCCTCCCTACTATGTTTTCTTTTTAAATAAGAATGTCCCAGACCATAATCCTAGCTACTCAGGAGGCTCAGATCAGAAGATCAAGATTCAAAACCAGCCAGGGCAGAAAACCCTGCAAGACTCTTACCTGCAATAAACCATCCAAAAGCAAGATATAGAGGTGTGGCTCCGGTGGTAGAGTGCCAGCCTTGAGCAAAACGGCCAAGTGAGAACTTGGCCTTAGTGCATGGGACCCAAGACACTTCTGAGTTCTCTCTAGAGCGTCTCCTCTTTGGCTGACCTGGCCTGGGGTCAGCAGCATCCACCCAACTAAGGCCATCTCAGCTGCTGCTGAGGTCTCCACAGTAGTGCCCCTCCCTAGGCACTGGCTGGTGAGGTTTGAGTGACAGCCGCTCAGATGACAGATGAGGGCCAGCTGCCTCTGATCAAGCCACAAGGGATTATCACACTTGTGCCAAGGGAGGCCTAGGAAGCCCAGATAGATTTAGTGACTACTTGCAAGGCAGCACAGCAGTGTGCAAAGATAGCAAGCCTTGCTGCATTGTGTGTGTGTGTGGGTGGGGGGGGGCGGGGTGCCATCTCACTCACTGCCAGGTTAGAATCTTGGCTCTGATTTCCCCATGGGCCCACCTCCACCCACCCAGCTAGGACTGGTGCCCAGCTTGGGCATGTTGTGAAGGTGTTGGCTGTGGGAGACTCACTTGGGAAGAAGTCCCGGGAGGCACCTTTGATTGCTCCCCCTGGAAACCCAGCTACCCACTCCTATTCTGGCAAAAATGAAGATTAGGAATTGTAATTACTGTGTGGAAATCTCCACCCCACCCCCAGGCTCAGGAGACCCCCTCCTCCAAATCTGCTAATGAGCCTCTGCGCAGCAGCCCCCCCCCCCCATCTACCCTTAAGAGCAGGGGCACAGATGGCTCAGGAGGTATAATGGAGTGGTGATGACAGCCACTCATTAGCTGGGCTCACCTCATTCACACAGAGAGCATGGGGGGCCCCCATTCCACTGCCCACATGCCCCAGGGGGGCAGGTTGCTAGACAGGAGAAGGCAGGCACCAGGCCTTCTGACTGACACCACCCACCTCCGACTGGCTGGGTGTGGGCCAAGAGACTCAGGGGTGGGAAGGCCTGGGTAATGCTCCAGCCTCAAAGTGTGTTTTAGAACCCCTTCTCCACCCCTTCTCTCAAGGCATGATGGGAAATGGACCCAGAGAGAAGGAAAGCCTGTGGCAGTCCTGGCTTTTATTTTTTTGAACTCTGGGCCTGGGCACTGTCCTTCAGCTCAAGGCTCAAGGCTAGCACTCTGCCACTTGAGCCACAGCACCACTTCTGGTTTTCTTTGTGGCTTATTGGAGATAAGATTCTCACAGCTTTTCCTGCCTGGGCTGGCTTTGAACCGTGATCCTCAGATCTCAGCCTCCTGAGTAGCGAGGATTACGGGCGTGAGCCACCAGCGCCCGACAGTCCTGGCCTTTTCTTGCCTGTCCAGGTGTGTCTGGAGGGCTCAGGGTGGGGGCCTACTTGACCTTCAGCTCCTACCTTGTTGCAGCCAGGGCAGGAGGGCCACGTTGCCAGGGAACTGGGCTGGGGAGAGGCAAGTGTCCTTCCTCCAGTCTCCTCCAGGACGGACTGCCTTTTCCTTGTCAGAAGTCAAACACCCAGGGCCAACCTGCTCCTGAACCGGTTCCTCATAGGAAGCTGGGGGAAATAGGCCTGAGGCACTGGGAGAAACAGGTGTGAGAACTCGGGGTGAGTGGGGTCCACGCCTACCTGCCCCCCCCCATCCCTGTTCAGCCTGGCCTTCACTGTCTATAGTCTGTAATCTCCTCCAAGCAAGGGAACACGCCCCATACCCTGCCAGGGGCCCAGTACCATAGACTACTAGATAAGCAAGCGGCCACCACCCCTACCCCCCCCCCCCCCACAGCAGCCTGGGGTGAGCCCAGAACACGGAGGGCCTCTAACTCCCCTTGGTGACACCCAGAACCTTGAACAGAGGAAGAGCCAGGCACACACAGGCATGGAGCTAGATCCCAGGGACGGCCAAGGTCAAGTGGGCCAGGCAGACCACCCCACGGCCCTTCACCCTTGTCCCCCCATGGTAAACAGCAGTTTCTTACCTCCAAGGCTGGCAAGAGCCCTGCAGTCTGCTGCCTGCGCCCGCCTGCCTTCCTTCCTCCTCCCAGGCCAGCTTGTTGGGACAGGTGAGCCTCAGCCCAGGTGAGGCTCCGCCTGCTTGTGATCACCCAAGAGTCTTGTTCAGAGGCTGTTAGGAGCTGTGCTGCACCTACCTGCAATCTGCCAGCTCTTCTGCTTTTCTCCCCGCCACCTCCCTGAGCTGGGGCCCCTGCTGCAGCCTGGGTCAGGCCCACCTGCTCACATTAAAAACCAGTCACTCTCGCAGCTGGCCAAAGGCGGGAGAGTCAGCTAATGCCAGGTTGAGTGGGGGTGGGGGAGGGGTGGCTGCGGGCCCCAGGTGTCTTGGAAGTGGGGGGGGGGGCTTGGAAGCTCCGCCCACCTCCAAGTGGCAGGGTCCCAGCAGGCTCCACACCGCGTTGGAGGGGCGCGGTCCAGGCAGGCTCCGCCCTGCGGCCGAGGGGCGGGACATTGCGGCTGCTGCTGGCCTGCACCGGCGCAGCTGGCAGAGGTGCTGTGTGTACAGACGGACACCTGGGCATTTTCGCTACCACACCGCCCCTGGGACCAGTTCCTCAGTGCCTCGATTATTTCCTTTCTCATATTCCATCCCCCTTCATCCCCTTGCTTCCGCCAGATCACCAAACCCAAACCACAAAGCAGGGCCTGGTCTGGAAGAGTGCTGAGTGGGGAAAGAAGGAATGAAGGATGGACAGAAGCCACTGGCCTCGTTGAGGGCCTACTGTGAGCCAGGTACATACTTAGCACCGGGGAGACAGCTGAAAGCCAAACACAAACATCTTAACCTGCTTAGAGGGGTAGGGAGACAGACAAATTAATAAGCAATGAACGTGAAATCTATCCAGAACCACAATAAGACACATGGGACAAAATAAAGCAAGCAGAGTCGGACACCAGTGGCTCACACCTGTAATCCTAGCTACTCAGAAGGCTGAGATCTGAGGACTACAGTACAAGGCCAGCCAGGACAGGGAAGTCTGCTAGACTCACCACCAATCAACCACCAGAAAACCAGAAGCAGCACTGTGGCTCCAAGTGGTAGAGCTCTAGACTTGAGCAAGAAAGCTCAGGGACAGTGCTGGGACCCTGAGTTCAAGCCCCATGATGGCTAGCAAGGTGGCTGCCCCTTGGCTCTGTGGGTTAAGCAGTTGAGGCCCAGCAGGACCAGGGAGCAGAATGAGGTCCCACTGTGAACTCCAACATTCACCCAGAACCCTGGGTCAGGCCAGCCTTCACCATTTACCCCACCCTGCTTTGTAGGGGTGCAGGGAAAACAGACCCCCCCCCTCCCTGGCTGGACACACGGGAATGCGGGACTACCTAGCTCTGTGCCCCTGGGCTCTGCTCCTGTGCCCCTCTGAGGCCTGGCCCTGCCCAGTCCAGGTGTGAGTGCCAGTGGCTGAGGGAAGCTCACATTCCTGCTTCGTTGCCTTGGCAACACTTTCCCTCCTTCCTGAGTTCATCCACTAAGTTAATATTTGCTCCGCAAGTACTGGGTGCCTTGGACAATGGAGTTATGGGGCCCTCTGGCAGACTCCCAGAAGGCCCTGGATCCACATACACAAACTGACTATGCAAAGTGAAGATTCGGTGGCAGAATGCTAAAGCTCCCAGCCATGGCTGGCACAGGGTGACGTGTGCAGGGATGGGGCCTTTGGAAGCCCTTCCCATGTTAGGTGTTCCTTTTCCTCCCCACCACAGGACAGAAGCCTTTCTCCCTTCTGGCTGCTGTGGCTAAGTGGGGTTCCTCGGGACTGTGTAGCAGGAGAGACTTGGAGAGATGAGAGCCTGTTTACTGTCTGCCTTGAGACACTTGCTCATGATGACTTCTACCTACACCCTTCCTCCAGTTCCAGCTGCCTTCCTGGGGATTTTGTTTTGTTTTGCTTTTTTGGTTTGTTTTTCCTTGTGCAGGTCCTAGGGCTTGAACCCAGGCCTGGGCCCTGTCTCTGAGCTGTTGTACTCTACTATTTTGACCTACAACACCATTTCTGGCTTCTTGGTGGTTAATTGGAGATAAGAATCTCATAGCCGAGCTCCTGTGGCTCACATCTGTAATCCTAGCTACTCAGGAGGCTGAGATCTGAGGATCACAGTTCACAGCCATCCTAGACAGGAAAGTCTGTTAGACTCTTATCTCCAATTAACTACCAGAAAACCAGAAGTGGCACTGTGGCTCAAAGTGGTGGAGCACTAGCCTTGGGTGAAAGAGCTCAGGGCCAGAACCCAGGCCCTGAGTTCAAGCCCCACAATGGACCAAAAAAAAAAAAAAAGGTGTCTCATGGACTTTCCTACCTGGGCTGGCTTCAAACCATGACCCTTAGATCTTAGCCTCCTGAGTAGCTAGGACTACAGGTGTGAGCCACTGGGTTCTGATGACATGTAGTGGCCCTTGGCTGCTCTGGCGGGCACGAGGAGATGTGCTGCCTGGCCTGGGTCTGCCACATAGCACTATGGCGCTGAGCAATAGGGCCTTCTCTGAGCTCAGCCTCCTTCATGGCTAAAATGGGGGTACTAGGACCACCTGTCCTGCGGGGACTTCAGTAACTCTCCGCAGGGGCTGGAACAGGGAACCCTGGAGAAAGTGAGCTGGGCTTTTCCAGCAGCAGTGAGCTGTGTCTGTCCCATTTTGGGACGGGAAGGAGCAGGGCCACCAGAAGTGATGCACAAAGCCACATCCTCCACCTCCTCAGAGCTTAATGATGTATTCGTGGGCGGGGGGGGGAGGAGATTCTCACAATCTGCCCCATCCCATCTCAAATTTATATCCTCCTTTGGGGGTCAATGTCAAGGTGACTGAATCACCGTTTGCTGGGGCATTTTCAGCCATGTTCCCCAGGCCTGGAGGCAATGCTCTTTGAGTACACGAAACACAGGAAACAGGTGGCAACCCATGTCAAGGCTTCAGGACACCCACCTGCTGCCTGACGGGCTGGGAGAAACCCCAGGGCTGCCTGCCCCACTTTATGGCATCCGGTCCCCAATGCCCCCTCTTCCACACAGCCCTCTTGGAGCTCCCTTGCCCCCCTGTGGAAGTCAGCCTCTAAACCCCAGAGCCCTAAAAGCCTGCATCACTTTTCCTACAAGGGTAGTCACCTCCTGGCTGGATATGGGGATGCACACCTGTAATCCCAACAGCCCGGGCTGCACTGTGAGACACTGGTGCATGACACCTTCACCCTGGAGTGTCACATCTCTCTGGCTGCCAGGGAGTTCCGAACATGGCATGGTATGACATAGTTAATCCTCATAACAACCCCATGAAGGAGATTGCAAAAGGGGCCAGTGGATGGGGAGGGGTCCACAGAAAGGCAGAAACAGGTCCCAGAGCTAATCACCAATCAGTGCCAGTGGCAGAATTTGAATCAGCATCACTGCTGAGCCACAGGTCTCCATGCAGCTTCCCAACCAAAGCATTTCAGTCATTCTACAAACCTCTTCCAAGTGCCAGGCAGGCCTGAGGATTGTCTCCGTGACCACGAGGCAGACACTATCCCTGCCTCCGTGCTGCGGATAGCTTATGAGATGCTGAACTTAAAAAAAAAAAAATCAATGAAACAATTAATCCAGTAATCCCATAAATAGGAAGACAATAAACACTTGATGTAAGAGCCATGAGTGATCTGGGAGGGCTTCTTGAATCTGGGAGGGTTTCTTACTGGGCCCTGATGAGTTAGAAAGAGCTAGTCTCAAGGACAGAGGCTGGAGGGCCTAGCCTTGAAGCAAGGGGAACAGCTTGTGAAGGGCTAAAAGTGGGGGTGGGGATGGAGGGAGGGGCTCCAAGTGTGGAGAACCTGCCCATGGTGCATATAGCAAGACCATAGAGGAAGATATTGACTTTAGTCCAGCCAGAGCAGCAAGAAGGCAAGCATCAGTTCACAGGCTTCTGCAGGTTTGATCCCAGAGGTCTGGAGCAGCTTGGAGCTCACCATTCCTGCCCCTCAACAGCAGCGTGTTAACAAATGCTAAACAGTCACTCTGAGTGTTGTCCTGATGTGAATACTCATGTTTTCACGCACTTTAAATAAGAGGGACACAGGCTGGGAAGGTGGCTCAGTGGTAGAGTTCTTGCCTTGCATGTATGAGGCCCTGGGTTCAATTCCTCAGCACCAAATAAGCAGAAAAAGCTGGAAGTGGTGCTGTGGTTCAAGTGGCAGAGCGCTAGCCTAGAGCTGAAGAGCTGAGAGACAGCGCCCAGGCCCAGAGTTCAGGCCCCACAAATGACAAAATAAATAAATAAGTAAATAAATAGGAGGGTCACAAAACAAAGAGGGTATGTATGGAGCTTGTAGTGTTCCAGGGCTGCAACAAGGAGTTTGCTCAACTGGAGAACAGAGCTCAAAGTCCCAGAACCCTTGCTGAATCGAATCATCATTTTCCACAATCCTCTTTTTTCTTTTTGTCAATTGTGGGGCTTGAACCCTGGGCCTAGGAATTGTCCCTGAGCTTTTCAGCTCGAAGTGAGCATACTCCAACACTTGAGCCACAGTGCCACTTCTGGCTTTTTCTGTTTCTGAGGTACTGAGGAATCCAACTCAGGGCTTCATGCATGCTAGGCAAGCGCTCTACCACTGAGCCACCTTCCCAGCCCTACAGTCTTCTTAGGTATGATGCAATGACTACAGAATTGACACATTTGCTAATTAGCATCATATCACTTCCTCAGGTCTACCCAAACAATCAAGAAAATGAAGTCTGATTGATATCACTTGCAGATTTCTGTGATGCAAATATTCACACTACAGTCAATTTCAAAATATCAAACATTGCTGGGCACTGGTAATTCACATTTGTAATCCTAGCTATTCAAAGGCTGAGATCCGAGGATCAAGAGTTAAAGACAGCCTGCACAGGAAAGTCTATGAGCCCTTTGTCTCTAACCAGCAACAACAACAACAACAAAACAAAAATGGATGTAGAGCTGTGGCTCAAGCAGTACAGCAACAGCCTTGATTGAAAAAAGCTAAGGGATAGTACTCAGGCCCTCAGTTCAAACCCCAGTACCTGGGCACACACACAATACCAAACAATAAATACAGAATCAGAGAAAGATGCTCAGTGGCTCAGCATTGCATTGCATTTTATACCAAGGCAATAAATGTCAGTCACCCCCCAGAGTGTAGATATAATTTAGTCAGCTAAGGCTGCTGTAACAAAAAGTACCATGGACTATAACAAAGTACCGCACACTGGGTGGCTTAAACAACAGAAAGGTACTGTCTTACCATTCTGGAAGCCAGAAGTCCAAGATCAGGATATCAGCAGGGTTGATTT